AAGCATTCCAGGGTATCCAGGGTATCCAGACCTACAGGACTCCTTGAAGAGATCGCAGGACTGTTTGGCTTTGGCCTTTAAGTCACAGCAGGTTCTGTGAAGACAAGAATAGAGATTACAGCACTACTTCCTGTGAAACTGCAACGGCTGTGGAGACCGCAATGGCCTGTTGTTGTCAGTCAGCTCCGACGATGGAGAATTGCCGGTACATGTTCCTGTATAGTTGGCAAGGGTGTACATCCTAATTTGAGCATAGGAGAATCTCAGATTACACCACGTTGAAACAGCACGGGCACATAGACGCCAGAACACTAAAGCCCCATGATTGCTGACAGGCGTTGGACACTCACTATGCACAGGCAATGGGCATCGACATGTCTCAGGAGCCATCCTGTGGTTTCAAGCTTCACAGAATGCTTGATGTGGATCTAGTAAGGGAAAACTGGAGCGGCGAGCTGCCACTGAAGCATGGTAAGGGAGCTGAAGCGCAGGAGCACTTCAGATTGATCACCGCCGGTTTCGCTGAGGAGGCGAATGCTGATGGCCCAATACTTGATGACCTGATCTCGTTCCTACTGTAGGGCTTTGAGGGAGGGCTGTCAACCAAAGATTTTTGGTGAGTGGTCGACACAAGCAAAGAATTTCTGCTTACTACTCCAAGGTGCACTGTGAGTGCTGGCATCGTGAAACTCAGCTCTTTGTCGTTGTCGAGCTTAGCTATTGATCCTGCGACCAGCTCGCTGCATAGCAGAACAATACCGTGCAGAGGATAGACTTTAGCCAAGTGCACCACAAGACACCCATGGACAATCACGGCGACAGTGAGCAGAAAGACGATGTTATCTTTGCCAGACAAGCCAGACCAACAGTGGGTCGCATAGCCTCGCTTCCAACAAATCTATCAAGCTTGAGAGGCATGCGACCAGATGCTTGATGCCATTCAATCCGGGCCTCGCAGCTGCAGCAAAGAGGAGCATGGAGTTGAAACAGAGTCCCTGTGAAATTGATACTTCCCGGAGCAGTACTGCAATGGATGTCCAAACAGGATCCAAACAGGTTGTTGTGTACATCTCGAATGCATGGTGCAGGCTGTGTGTCTTGTGTTTGTGTGGCACGTTAACGGGGTCAAAGTCTTCGCAATTATTGGTGTATCCTTCAAATCCGATCTGCGCTTTGTAGCAAGTTCCGTGGCTGCTGGAAACTTCTGTGATCCCGCATCCCTGGAACTGGTGTGCGAGCATCAAGAAGATGTGAGCACCAGGGCTTCGTTTCTGCAAAGGTGCTTCGACCTCGTAGTCCTGGACAGCGTGGCTGCCCTCACTCCAATGGAAGAGTTGGAGAAGGACATGACACAGGCTTGGCGCTCATGTCGACCGAGTTTCTCATGTTCGGGATATGGGCTTATGACTCAATTTGACAGAACACCATCGGGCTGAAAGCGCGGATCATGAGCAAGTTCCTACCGAAGGCTGCGCATCTTGGCCACAGCAGAACCCAGCATCCTTACAGTGCCCTGCAGCCGGACTATTGCCCCTCGCAGGCAGATTCACGTGCAAACTCTTGCTGCTGCTCCGGAGCAGTGGCTGTCGCCAAGGAAGTATGCTGCAGACTCGAACACTTGCCTGCTGATGATCAACCAGACCAGAGCCAACATTGGAGGCACGACTTCTTAGAGAAAGCGCTGTGAAGGCGGACATTGTCATGCGATAGCATATTCCATGGGCTTCTGTCGCCAGGCTATGGAAGTCCTGAGACGACTTGTGGTGGTAAAGCGCTGCCGTATTTCGCAAGCATGCGCTTGGAGGCCAAACCGCATGGCCATGGTCCAACAACAGTAGTAGTAGTAGTCGTCGTCGTCGTCGTTGTAGTGGTGGTGGTAGTGGTAGTGGTAGTGGTAGTGGTAGTGGTAGTGGTGGTGGTGGTGGTGGTGGTGGTGGTAGTAGTAGTAGTAGGAGTAGAAGTAGAAGTAGAAGGAGAAGTAGTGGTAGTAGTAGCCGTCGTCGTGGTAGCAGTAGCATCGTAGTAGTAGTAGTAGTAGTAGTAGTAGTAGTAGTAGCAGTAGTAGTAGCAGTAGTAGTAGTAGTAGTAGTAGTAGTAGTAGTAGTAGTAGTAGTAGCAACAGCAGAAGCAGCAGCAGCAGCAGCAGCAGCAGAAGTACATGTAGTAGTAGTAGTAGTAGNNAGTTGTCGGTAGCAGGTACCGAGTCCAAAGGCATGACGTGGTTGGCAAGGGCCGGGTTCGAACTGGGCAGATATTCCAAAACCCTCCGTGCACGGCAGCAACCTTGTCCCGCAAGAGGTCAGATCTCCGAAGTCCGGGATTCTGGGGCCGACAGAGCCGCTTGACATACATTTTGGCATACGATGATATGTTGTGATTTACTATAGTATTTTATGGCATAGTCTAGTGATAGTGAGACATGAGAGAACCGATCGGACCGAAGTGGATGCTTTGTACGGAAATCGGGAGGAGAAGAGATGATGCATGTGCTAACAGTGGCTTGCTCGAGTCTTCTACATCAGGCGGATGAAATTTCGCATCCTTGGCACACCTCTTACCGAGTAACGGCATGGCCTGGCCAGCGGAGTAGTTTCCAATCTAGACCGCGATAGACCCCGCTTTGAAAGTATATGATGCTGTTCTGGATGAGTCCCAGGCACGTCCTGTTTCCTTGGATTCGGATGGGAAAGCTGCGGTTCATCCACTTCAATGAAGCCCCATTTGCCTTGCAGTATGACTGGCTGAGACCACGGCACATCAAATCCCCGAGAAGCAGCAAAGAGTCCCGGAATGAGGCATGCCTGGTACACCTGTAACCTTCTTCACCTTGTTAGTCTTGGTGATCTGAAAGGATTAGTTTGCCATCCATGTTGTTTGAATGTGGACCTAGGGAGCCAACCGGCATCCGCTCAACCGTTCGCGTCAAGAAGAACAAGCTTGCCGCCCCGCACCGGAAGCACAGCAGCATTATGTAGGTTTCCAGAAGCTTCGGGGATCATAGAGGGCTGAGGACAAAGCTTGAGACACTGTGTTCGAGCATTATCGTGTCCGCGAGCAAGCTGCCCACTGCCGTGCTGCGTGGTCGACACCAAGGAAGGCTGACTACGACATCATCTTCGGAAAAGGCATTTCCTGGGAGACTGTGCTGCAAATGGCCTGTTCTTTTGTTTTCGGCAGCTCTACTGTTTAATGCAACATCTGGGGGCATGCAGTGCCTTAGGAGTTGACGCTTCGATTTGCCGACCCATCCAAATTCACAGCAAATGCAAGGAAGCCCAATCGAAACCATCAGACACACCTGAGAGATGAGGGCAGGGCGCATGAGGGCGCTGCTGCGGGGTTTGTCGAGGGCCATATCTTCTACATAATCTTATCTTGTGTATTGGCACGTGGCCTAGACCTCGACGTAGTCAGACTAGTGCGATTACTGATGGTGATGGCATCGACATACGAATATCGAGCGTAATGGGCCGACGATGACGCTGGGGTGATGATGATCATGACTCATGATGACGGCATCTTCCGGTCGTCAGGAAAGCAGCGTCCTGGAAGCAGCCATAGATCTCGACCTGGTCCATAAAGGTGGCCACTCGGCAGAACCCCGCTGAAGTAGTGAGGGCTGCGTGTTCAGAGCTGCCAGGCCGGAGCATGGAACAGAGAAATTGAACATCCTAAGATGTGCTTGGCATCAGCTCCCACAGCATCACAGTTCTCGGACAGCTTTGCGTGCATCAAGCCAGTCCCTGGTTTGGAAGGCAAAAGAAAGTTGTAGTCGGGCTCCCACCGACAAGCTGCAGCGATTTTCTTGGGGCTTGGCACAACAAGCACAAAGCTGCCACAGCGGCATACAATGAACCGTATGTGCACGCGGCAAATCTCAGCATGCTCAAGACCATTGAAGGCCGGTGAACCGTCATGACACGGGGCAGCCTACACGCTGCTGAAATCTTTTCGAAAGGATTTTGGGATTTATATGTCACGTGTGTGGGTATATCTAGTAGACATTTCCGGTCGCCTTGTTACTCTCGGGCTTCAAGTGTAAATGGCTGGGTCGCGGTGCAGGGTTTCTGGTACACTTTTCAGGAAACCACCGGCAGCAGTTGAAGGGAGCTTGCCAAAGAAATCCTTTCGAAAAAGGCATGCCCTGCATTGTATCAACGCAACCACGCGAAGGCAACGAGAAGATCGCCCGACTTAGTCCTAGATATCAACCTTTTGATGTCTGTTGCCATGGGCCCTTGAGGTGCTTGGCTGACCTATGGCGAGCATAAGAAGCAGGGCAAGGCACCAGTTGGGTAAGCGGAAGACAGTGGTCTCTCTGCGGAGTACTCTGCCCAAAACTGTTTAGGCTCCACTG